CCTGCATGGTTCACTGCACACATAGCTACCCTGTAGTTCTTAGTATACATCTGCCCCGTCTGGAGTCTGGCAGTATGCTGATGATGAACAGAGCACGCTGTTTGAAACGTAAAGAACAAGCACTTGTTCTTTTCATAACTACACTCTCTCACAGGAGAGATAATATTCCATGGTGTTACTGCAAACCTATCTCACTTAATTACCTTCCACCATGCAAACCGTCGAGTGTCATTTAACTGTAGGGTTATTTGCATGTGGCATATTTGAGTACCATATGACGTGCACAACAACTAAGTTGATTGATCATCTTCGGTGAAAATTCGGATTTGTGTAATGACCATGGTGGGAAGGTGTTTGTGCCCATAAGTGGTAATACTTAGACTGAACATATACTTAGACGGAGACTGAAAGAAGTAGTTTGCAAGCTGGTGAGAAAGCAGATGTATACACCTGCATAGTTTTATCAATATGTGATCGGCTTGATCTGCAAAAATGGCTTTTATGTTGCTCTAGAGTCAATTCGATTACATGGTAATTCAAATCTGCGAAAATGGGTTTTATGTTGCTCTAGGGTCAATTCGATTACACGGTAATTCAAAATTGACTGTTTATCTTATACATTGCTAGTGTGGCTTGTCTTTGTTTAAGACGTCAGTGATTGATAATGACCTTTGTTATTGTCTACAATGTGTAGTGTGCTATTGTACAAGTAGAACAAATACAGTGATTTCAGGGCCATTGTTACAGAGCTGCTCACATTTTTTTTTTGAAATTGGGTTTTCTGTTACACAACAATCAAATACTACAAATTTAAAGAGGGCTAGAATTTATAAATAATCTGACATCATGATATTTATTAAGTCACACCTTAGGAAATATATTCAGGGAGTATGACCGAAATGGCTTCATTGATAAGGTTAGTGGAATATGTTTTGTAATAAACAGTGTTTTATGACTTATTTTTTCTGTGGCATTCTGACATTAGTTTCGACATGAGTTAGTGGAAAAAAGTTGACATTGATGAACATTATAGTTAGTTGAGTTGTAATATGTCATTTTTTAGTTATGCCTTGTCCTTGTAACCGCTTGTGTGCTATCAAGAAAAGTTTTTCATGCATCTATAGAAAACAGTCATGACTTTCGAATATGTGACCTTGGAAGTGTTTCAAAGTCAAATCGTGTGAATGTTGGAGAACTGTGCATCTAATAAGTATTATTGTCTTGGTGAAGTTCGCTTTGCACAAAATGTATGTAAACAGTGTACAGTTGAAATTGAGGTGTTTGGTGACTGTATGTTGTAAATTTTGGAACATGTTTGTTTATGCATAGTGTTATAATCCATCTATTTAAAGTATGGCATAATTATGCAGTGTAAAATGAACCCAAATGAAGTAGTAAGTAGTGCAGTTAATGTAACACTGATGTCCGTAGAAAAATGAAGTATATGATTATGAAGATGGTATAATAGTTGTGGTCTCGGTAGCCATGAAAATGGAAAATTTGTAAAACTGCATGAGAAAAATTATGTAAAGTCATGTCTTATGTAACATTAGTGGTAGTTTTGATGGGGAAAAGGGTTGCACAGAATTTAAGAGTACATTTGTCTGATTTTGGTATTTGTTCCCAAACATCAGTGTAATTTGTTACACTTTTGCCTCTGATAAAGATCTTGATTTCAGGAGCTTCTAACTTTTTTTACATTTATTGTTAAGTTAGTTTAGAAACAAAAAGTGTATATTAAACTTAAATAAAAGGTCAGTTCGAATGGAACGTGTGAAATGTTAATTAGCATTGTCAGGTGATAACTTGTTTTAAAAAAAGGAGCACATGTTTATATATTTTTATACATGTAGTTGTTAAAGAGACTGTGGATTGTTGATAGAAATGTTTGGTTGTCTGGAGTAGGTAATACACAAGTAATTTATTTTGCTGTGAAATAATGCAACAATTACCTTTGACATGTGTTTTTACCACGTTTTGTCTAGTGCATTGATGTCATTTGTCTACAAGTTGGCGATGGAGCAGCAACCCCAAAAAGGACGTCATGTTATGATTTTTCTTGTGTACTTAGCATTAGTATAGCCTAATGTACATGAAACTACATAGTGACGAAAATTGTTATCAGCAATCCTGTTTAATGTTACTTTTGAGATAGTTATGTGTTATGAGTTGAAGACTTAAGATAGGAGTTATGTAAAGGTTGTTACAAATGTTACCTTTGTTGTATGCTTGGTTGGTAAACATTTTAAGTATTGAGATATTTGAGTTTTGTTTACATGGAATATAATGTTGAAGAAAAAGGAAAGTGTTTCATGTGTTCTGAGAGTAGGTGTCTGTCTGTTAGTCGGTCTGTTAGTCAGTCGGATGGGGTGTCTGGTTGTCTCTTTGTTGGCTGGGCTGTTTGGGGCTGTTTTTTTTTTAATAACTGATTTGAGTGTATTATAGATTGAAATGCACTTGCTGGTCGCTTGTCATCATAGTTTCTTTTCCTTAATGTTGTCGACAATTTATAGCAAAGAATATTTGAATTTTTTATCCAGGGGAAATAACTTTTAGTGTGAAGCATTCATACTAATGTGCAAAGTGTGCATGAAGAATGAAATTAGGGTTTTGTTTTGTAAAGTTCACGTGGGTTTCAAGTTTCTCGCTTAAAATGTGACACCTTTTGTACTTATTAGTATGGTAATGAACGAGGTGTTGGCCGTTAATGAAATGTCAGCTAAGGCTCCAACCTCACGAATAAGTCCCATTTTGTCTAACAACATGATTGAAGGCCGAGACGGAGTCTCAGGTGGCGTGTGGTAGAACGGCTTCGCTCGTACCCCCCGCCCTGCAAACAGGGCGCATGGTAAGGGCTGATGAGTTTCACAGAATCTTGTGAAGTACAGATTGACCTTCGCACGCAGCTAGCGCGCTACCATGATGGGCACCGGAAGCTAGTTTGTGTGACGCATTCTACGTCACAGGTCACGCAAATCTATCCAATGAGAGCTCAAATGACGTCAGCCCTGACCATCGTCCAGCTGTTCGCAGGGCGGGCCGGGGGAACAGCTCGATGCGTGCAGTCGCAAAGTACACATTAAGGGCGCTATTGAAACTTGGCGGTGTTGTATGTGCTCAGTCATAATAAAGATTATAAGTAAAACTGCCTACGATTACAGTCGAATTCTATTAATAAGAGGTATTTCGGACTTAGGAAGTTACCTTGTTATATGAGGAACCGTATTATCAGGATTATAAAACAAAAAAACGCAAAGGAATGGGATTTAAAAATTTCGTTGAGCAGTGATCTTATTTTTGCTCTGTCTGTGAAGAAGAAGGAGCGCCATCACGCTGATATCCATACCGGAAAGTCCACAACCTCGTCCCCAGTGCTTACTTTATTTCCAACCGCGTTTCCAATAGAGCAGGTAGGGGTGGGTGCGTACTGCTCGACACCCTGGGGACGAGGTTGGAAAGTCCATGACTCGTTAACGTGCTAATTTTGTCTGAAATCGTCTGGTACCGATGGCGTGGCTTCTGAAGCATGGGTTAAGTACGCTGTAACATAGATCATCAGACTTGTTGATTTGCAAGGTGAGAATTAAGCAGATCCAATTTTGTGTTCTTTTATAAGAATCTACACTAAGTTATATGTAAATGAACATGTTAAAACTATTCAATACTCATGATACTAATTACTGTGTTGTACATTTTAGGAAAATGGAATTTTAAGTGTGAAACCGCTCATAATTTTGCGAAAAGAAGGAGTTCGGATAAGCAACTTTATCATGTCCATGGGCATGTAACAGAGCTAGAGTATTGTTGATGTACCCTAACGTGGCGCGACCCCGAACGTAGCGCACTTTGATTTTTCGCCTGTAGCACCTACCTAGAGCAAAAGTTTTAACTGAAATTTCACAGAAAGTGAAATTTCATGAAGTTCTTAACACTTCTCTTCATAAATTGCGAGTTTATTTACCCGTAAACAAAGTTAGAAGAAACATTTAATTTGGCGTGATTTTCCGATTTTATTTTCAAGTGCAAAGTGAACCCTTTGAAAATGCCCCGAAAAATAAGAAAATAATTTTCTGAAAAACATCTGGCTGGGTATGTAAGTAGAGATAATAATTATTTATCAGAATTTATCAAGTTTACAGAAATTCTTCAATGTTAATTTGGAATTTCCCGAGATTTATTCAAGTGCGCCACGTTAGGGAACACTCCGCCAATTTGTGCCCAATTTCCGGACGTCACCGTTTTTTGAATTTCAGATTAAATTTTATGAAACCGAAATTTTTCACAGCGGTTAATTGGCAAGCATTAATGAGGTAAAAGTACTAGCCCAGCTAACACATAACGTTTTCATAACGTTCCTGGAAAGTTACCTTCGGTAACGTTCTGTAAAAACGTCCCCTAAACGTTACGCAGACGTTTGAAAGAAACGTTACATTGTAACAATTGTAACACGTTCTGTAACAACGTCCGCTGAACGTTATGCAGACGTTTGAAGGAAACGTTTCATTGTAACAATTGTAACACGTTCTCTAAAACGTCATTTGAACGTTATGCAGACGTTTCAAAGAAACGTTTTATTATAACAATTGTAACACGTTCTCTAAAAACGTCATCTGAACGTTATGCAGACGTAAGAAAGAAACATTACATTGTAACATTTGTGACACGTTCTGTAAAAACGTCAGCTGAACGTTATGCGGACGTTTGAAAGAAACGTTACATCGTAACAATTGGAACACGTTATTTAAAAACGTCACCTGAACGTTATGCAGACGTTAGAAAAAAATGTTGCATTGTACCATTCAAACAATGTTATCAACAACGTCTGAATATTGTTTTACGGACGTCTAAATGTAACGTTTTACTGTAACGTTCTGATAACGTTCCAAAAACGTTGATATCGACATCAGACACAGAATCATTTATTTCACAATTTGAACGGCCATCTTGTTTCAAAACTCCAAATCATCAAGCTCAAAATTTAACAAGACGGCCGTTCAACTGTAGTATTTTTAAGTCAGTGTCGAATGTACTAGAAAAATGGTCCCGCGCTCGCATCGTGTCACCGCGTACCAGCTAGCTGCGATGGTTCCCACACACACTCATCGCCATCGCGATGTAATGGAGTGCTCTACCCGGTACCCGCCATACAAATGTACTGTTGGAGAACCAGCTGAGACGACGTTGCACATTATATGCATGCAAGAAGCGCGGTGAATTAAATTGTGAAAGTGGATTGTTCGATGGTGATGCGATGTCTGATAATTATCTTGTCATATCAAACACATCCTTTGAGCGCCTTCACAACAAAGTAAGTAATCTAAAGCAAGATTGTTTATACCACATGTAGGACTTTTTATTTTTACATTCCACGTGCTTCTTATAACAGTTTTCTCAATCATGAAATTCAGGTACATGTAGGTCAGTATTAAACTCGGCATAGGCTAAACGTGCACAACGTGCCGAATATACATGCTGGTTAAATTTCATGGATTTTTCAACCACAAAAACAATTGTGAGTATCATTGAAGCCCCATTACTTCGTCTTTGATACGTGTGGAAGCCAGTAAATGATTTGAAAGGTATTTTGGCAAGTATTTTGCGTGATTTTTTCCAACATTATGAGTAGGCCTAGCTAGGCGAGTAACTCCAGCTGACTTGTTCCATATTCATTCACATGTAACGCTGGAGGAATAACCTGTTCGTTAGAATGTGGTAGCAAGAGACCCTAAAAAAAGGCCTCTCCAAAATTGTCCAAATTTCACCTCTTTTATCAAGCTGGAGTTACCCAGCCCTAAATTTTTTCATTGGGTTGTCATTTAGGGCTGGAGCTAATTTTTCACGTAACCATGCAGCGTAGGCAGGTCCTAACATTTTTTTTTTCAATTTTGTCCCCGTTACACACTAATTGCAACTGCAACTCACCCCAAACGTGCCTGGAATAACCATTACACAGGTACTTGAAGTAAAAAACGATCCACCATGAAGATTCAGCCTATAATTGCAGTGAAAAAAAGGAGGAATAACCGCTAACCTGACAACCTTGCAGGCATGGCCAGGACCGCAATTGGTTTGTGCACAAAAAAAATTGTGTACAATGAATGGCGGTCGATTACCAGGCACAGCGCGCTGTCAACTAGCCGTTTTTGCCGGCTGCGCTGGCTGTTGGCGCATGACGTCACGCGGAAGCGTAACACCCAATGACTGTTTCATGCACTAATATGAGGTTTACCACTCGCATCACAGCTGCGGTACTGGAACCGCAACCAATAGTGCATGAAACAGTGTTTTTTGTTGGGACCTGCCTACGCTGCTGGGTTACGTGAAAAACTAGCTCCAGCTCTAAATGACAACCCAATGAAAAAATTAAGGGCTGGGTAACTCCAGCTATCTTTTATCCCACCCCAGAGTTCATTTACATACCTCATACATTCAGCAGTCATTTACGAAGCCTAATCATGCTAATGATCGACTTGAAACAGACCACAAAAAAGAGTGAAAAATCTTGACGATTTCGGTGGCTTGTCCGTAAAAAATATGCCAGTTCCAACGGGTGTCTTCCATTTTGTTTTACTAATTATGTAAATGTATGCATCACGTGATGACATAAAAAAAATCTGCGCGCGCGATATATGTGGGTACCACACCACTTTCAGGTGCTGCAAGTGAGTTCAATTTTCGTCTGGTGCGTTGTCGCGGAAAGCAAGACAACGAGAATGCCCTCCACGGCAATGCACCAGACGAAAATTGAACTCACTTGCGGCGCCTGAAAGCGGTGTGGTACCCACATACATCGCGGGCGCAGATTTTCTTTGATGTCATCATGTGATGCATACATTTACATAATTAGTAAAACAAAATGGAAGACAGCCGTTGGAACTGGCGTTTTTTACGGACAAGCCACCGAAATCGTCAAGATTTTTCACTCTTTTTTGTGGTCTGTTTCAAGTCGATCATTGACTGAAGTGCAACTATTAATAGTTGTTAAGCTTTCACAACAACCTTTGCTTTAATGTTTTAGATCAGAGCCTTCATGTCAAATTAGACATGATTTTGGACAACCAAAAAGAGGAGTTGTGCCTCTTGAGGAAAGTGGCCAGGCTCCGAGCTCCTGATGATGAGGACATCGAAGAATTTACTCCAAAACCTCTGGAAACTGTCGCAGAACTGGAGGACCTATGTGAAAAGCTGAATTCTCCTGAAGAGGCCAACTTGAAATAACAGATGGTAAATTGCTGTCTTGTAAATTCATGTATTTTTCTTAAACCCAGAGGGCCTCCGGGAGCAGTTGATATATGACCGAGGGACATTTGTTTTATAGGTATTTGCTGATGTTTGTTACTTACGAACCCTGAGGAAGAGACACAAGGACATGTTAAGCTGCTGTCCGCAACTAAAAATTCAAACTTAAGCATGACTGATGTGAATAGTTTTGGTAGTTCACTCCACCGGCTGTGTCACTCACACTTGTAGCATGTATTTACGCCACACAATTGTCTCATTGTATATTTTTCCTTCAGATTTGTCACTTTACTTCCATGGGAGGCTACAACCTTGGCGAGAGTGTCTGCCGCATGCTACGCAGGCTAGGGACAAATATGCTGTGGTCCCTTTACAGCTACAAGGGACGAAAGGGGAAAAGAGCTCTGAGCGATCTTCAAATCTCCCGGGTGTTAATCAGTAAGCTGCGTTTATTTGATTTCCTTGAAATTTCTTTAAGTACATGTAAATTCATTCATTTTTTTTCAAGAAAGAATTTTTTTTATAAAGTTCATATATCAGATGCCAGTTATTGAAAATTATTAAAATGTTGACATCTTCTTCAACCGTTCTTGTAGAAGCCTGTCTGAGTGCCCACCCATAAAGCCGAGTCTTGGAAATTGAAGAAACCATCCAAGAGACTCTCAAGTACTGCCCAAACCGAAAGGGTGGGGCAAAGTACAAGGTACGTTTCTCTTGTTGCATTTTCAGTTTTCACACGCATAAAGTCTAGTCTTGTCAAAACACAAATATTAAGTGACTCCGAGTGAAGGGAGGAATATTATTGAAAGGCAAAATCTGTACTTCTCCATTTCCTTAGGCGAAGCGGAGTGAACTGGGAAAAGAAAATCCAGATTTTACCGAGCGATAATATTCCTCCCATTTCACAATTTAAAGCCGCTCAATGTTTGTTTTATATTATTGACATTTAGATCCTTGTCATTTGATATTTTAGAAATCTCATTTCAACATGAAATTGGTAAAACAAATGTCTTTCTGTCTTCCAAACCATCCCTTCATGAAAATGTTTGAACCCAGCTACTGTCGCGCTGGCTCTTTAGGACAATACATGCTACGTGCATTGATGAACGCGCACACCAGCATGCATTTGCACTAATACCGTGGCATGGAACAAAGATGATCCTATAACTGTCAAATAGTATTTCCCATTCCCTATGGGCGAATGGGAATTTTTGAGCCCCGGAGGGAATGGGAGTAATTAACGAATATCACGTGATGTGAGTTCCACCAAGCAAATGACAAGGATATGTATGTCAGGATATATAATACAACTTAATCAGCTCTACAGTGCCAGTTTATTGTGTATTTACGAGAGTCGACTGTGCACATTGGAATTTGGTTGATAATACTTTAGCTTGAAAACAAAAACTATCCTGACAGTCAATAAAACGTGTTCACTTTTTGGCATGTCCATTGTTTTGAATTGTTCTTCTGTTGGTCAAATACATGTACATGTACACGTATAACATATACATGTAGAACACTTGAATATTGTCTACTTTGATTTCAGGAAACGTATTACTTCAACCAGATATGATGCATTTGAAACACTGCGGAAAAAAAAAAACGGACTGTACTTTTCATTGACCGCAACTGTCCGCTCTGGCTACAAGTACCTCCCCCCCCCCCCCTTACAAATTTAGACAAGAGCTGCTGGTAGGGAAAATTTCAACTTGCTGCATTGTGCACGGGCAAAGACTAACTGGCGGCATGTTGTCACCGAGTCCAACGCCAAACATGTATGAACCTATGCACACACTAGGAAAGGGACGTTGTTACTATGTAAAAAAAATGCAATCTTTTGTTCCTGCAAGAAGCGGATTGGGTAAAAAATTATTATAAGTTTCCAAAAATGTCAGGTTTTCTTTTGGTGTCTGTTTTTTGTTGTATTTATTCTGATGTTTGAAAAGTTCATTTATCTTTTAACTTCACAGAATCCTGATGCCAACACGATCGCAACACCAGATGAGGCCACCACCGACTTTGATGACTAGCCCAACTGAAAATGATTGGTAACAACACCCCCCCCCCCCAAAAAAAAAAAAAAAAATAGATAAAAGATTAGAATATATTTGAGCTTCCAAACCTGAAACAATCTTGCCAAAAAGTGTTCATGTATATGTTAAGTGTGCTAATCTACTTCTTCCTCAATAAGTACATAATAGCACATAAAAGATGGTGCTACATTATTTACTCTAATACTTGGAAGAATTAGGATATATTTGGGCTTTCAAACTTAACCAACTTGCCAAACAGTATCCATGTACGTGTATAGTATGGTGGGCTAATCTACTTCAATATATGACTAGTATACATCAAATATATTTGGGATTCCAAACCTAAAACCAACTTGCCAAACTGTGTTAAGTGTGCCAATTTACTTCTTCCTCAATAAAAAAAAATCAGACATAAAAAAATGTAGTGCTCCATTTTTCTTACTAGGACAAATATATATTTGGGCATTCAACATTGACTCATTATACTACGAAGTAAAAGGTAGTTTCGCTTTCAAACCCAAAACCAACTTGCCAAACAGTGTATATTTTTACAGGTGGTAATTAAAAAGTTAGTGAAGATGTTTGTCTGGACATAGTTGTTAAAACGATATTTAGTGTTATTGGCCTTTATGAAATATGTACATTGTATTATTGTATTTGTAATTTGTAGTTGTTTGAGATATACATGGAGGTTAATGAACTATGAATAAGCATGCATGACCTGCGAACTTTAACACACTTAAGCAGTATCAATCTCCGATTAGTAGCCTATGACGTAGTAGCCAAATTTGACATCATTTTGAAAGACGTTGAATGGCCTCCATTTCATTAAATAAATTCAAAAGTGGGAAAGAATTTAGTATCCTGACGCCATCTCAGCGGTCATCTATGGAGAGTCAAGAACATGTATTAAGTGTTTCCTAGCAGAATTGAAAATGTTTCTCAGTTCCGTTATGTTTCTCAGACCTATCGAGATGATACATGTACCTGTATATGAAGAAAAAAGTTGAGTCAGATTGAAACATTCTGTCCATTAAGGACCATGAAGCATTATGTGTTATATGTTTCTGCATGAATTGCAAAAAGAAAGAGCATCGTAGTTAAGTTCTCTTTTGGATTCGTATAAGTGTTTGAAATACACACCTTTATAACACGGTCGATGTGACTTTACAAATTACATTGTTATATAACAAGTACTTTGTATTAGCAGTATTGGAAAACAAACTGTTGGGCCTAATATTTTGCTTGTTATATAAGCGGAATGTATCAGGGGGCTCTTCTTATCAGGGTTCAACTTTAGTTATTTTATAATAAAAACGTTAAATAAAATGAGAAATAAAATGGCTGATAAGTTAATTCAGTTTGTTGTATTTGTCTTTTTTCATTACTTTGTCACAGTGCACATAATGAGAGTTCAAACAGTAGATTTTTCGATCTTGCCAACGTCCTCTGAAGGTGGTATGAATGTTATTTCGTAACGTTTGCCTGTAACGTTACAAGAACGTCTCTTGCCAACGTCCTGTGAAGGTTGTACAAATGTTATTTCGTAACGTTTTTTTGTAACGTCCTAAGAACGTCAAGAGAACTCTACACATTTACGTTCCCATAACGTTATTTTCAAACGTTCTGGGAACATTACCGTAACGTTATGAGAACGTTTTTGCAACGTTTTTTGGTTAGCTGGGAGTATTTTTCTGCATAAATTTGACATTGGTCAACAAAGAGGTTTGGCAACACAACACGAGGAAAGTCGGGTAAGCTTCGAAGTGCGCCACGTAAGGGAACCCCACTATACCATGCAGTTGAGGCCATACACAGGCCTATAACGTTACATGCCTAGGTCTAATGTGTAAATTATGTGAGAAACAGTTGCAGTTGGATTTTTGGAAAAGTAATTTTGTGTTCTTTATAAGAATATACACATAGATGTATATGTAGACCTAAATGGAGAATTATTCAATATTAATTTTTATGGTATAAATTGTAGGGAAACAGTATGAAACCACTCATAATTTTGTGGAAGAGAGTTCAGGTAGAGCTAGCACACTGAAGTGTAATTGAAATAAGGCCCAGGTTCTACAATAATGTAGGCACACGGTGAAACTATATGCCTTGACTGGGCATACTTGTTAGTGTTAAACTGTTGTTATGAAGATGCAACTTTTTTAGATTTACTTGGTATACATCGATGGAATTGGAATCTCTATGAATGTGATAAAGATTTCGTAGTGTAAAAATGGTGGGGAATAATAAATTATCAGGAAATTATGCTAAGACTGTCGACATTCTGCTGAATGAAGGCTACAGTGAGAGGCAGGTGGCTACAAGGCTCATTATATCAAAGACTGCGGCTTGTTTACACTATTGGAGAACCAGGACGCCTGTTCAGTCACTGGATCTCAATGCAATTGAAAACTTGTGGATCAGTATAAAAAACACGAGTTGTTCAACTAACTGGAGCTTATGTTTACTTTTTATGACAGTAGTGGGTAGCAATGACAGCAAATGAATATAAGATTATGGTGCAAAATATATTGATATTGTCGTGCCAAGACGGTGTTAGTTGAAGTATCATGAGCCAACAGCAATTAGGGCCTAGTATTTATTTGTATTACAATAAAGTGAGATTTTTGTAAAATGCTAAGTTGTACTTTTGTACCACATGTATTGCTATCTGGTTGCAATATTACATTCAGGTCATTAACTGGGGTAGTTAAAATATGAATAGATTTTAATTTTGCATTTTTAAAATTAAATTTACAGTAAAGAATAGTAATATGATCTACATCTACACGGGTACTCAGCAAAGTCCACTTCTGGATGTTAACGCTGAGGTGAAGTTTAAGGTGCATGTAAAGCAGGGGGAAGTTTGTGCTGAAGAAAAATTTAAGTGCGAGTAAAAAAGCTCCAATCTTGGATGAATTGGGCTCATAACAGGGTCATTGACATTCTGAGTGGCGTTAAGTGCCAAAAATACTAGTGGTCTGAATTGTCATTGCTGTAAGTCGTTCATGAAATATTGAATCAGTAGTTTTCTATTAGTCTTTACAGATATGACAGTGTGGCAGCTGTTCCTCATCTTTGTGTTAGTTATGTCCAGTTCGTCTGTCCCATTGACCCTTCCTGATCATCCCATTTCATTTCAAACATATTTCCTCCCTTATTCATTGTCTCATTTCATCTCCTCTCACTGAAGTTGTTATATGTAGCAAACGGTGATAGATGTAAAGAACGAGTTGTATGTTAGTGAATATTGTCTGTTATATGTGAAGCAAAAACAAAAGTCAAAGCTATCGGTCACTGTTTCAGTGACAATTATATTCAAAGCTATCGGTCACTGTTTCAGTGGCAATTATATTTAAAGCTATCGGTCACTGTTTCAGTGACAATTATATTTAAAGCTATCGGTCAATGTTTCAGTGACAATTATATTCAAAGCTATCGGTCACTGTTTCAGTGACAATTATATTCAAAGCTATCGGTCACTGTTTCAGTGGCAATTATATTTAAAGCTATCGGTCACTGTTTCAGTGACAATTATATTTAAAGCTATCGGTCACTGTTTCAGTGGCAATTATATTTAAAGCTATCGGTCACTGTTTCAGTGACAATTTTTTATATTTAAAGCTATCGGTCACTGTTTCAGTGACAATTATATTCAAAGCTATCGGTCACTGTCTCAGTGACAAGTTACAAGTCGTTACAAGAATTTGCTAAGAGTCTTTGCTTGAAGTTAAAATTGAATACGAAAGTCATTGCAAAGAAGTTGACAAAGAGTATTTGCTTGAAGTAATTGAAAGTGAAAGTTGTTACAAGAATTTGCTAAGAGTCTTTGCTTGAAGTTATCAGTGAAAAGAAAGTCATTACATAGAAGTTGCTGAGAGTATTTGCTCTAAGTTATTGAAAACGAAAATCGTTACGAAAACTTGCTAAGATTATTTGCTTGAAGTTATCAGAGAAAAAGAAAGTCATTACAAAGAAGCAGCCAAGTCTTTGAATTTATCAGTGAAAGCGAAAATCATTACAAAGGATCTGGTGAGAGTTTTTGAAGTAAATCAGAGAAAAGTTCTTACAAAGAATTGTCTAAAGAGTTTTGCTGGCATTTATTATTAAAAAGGAAAGGCATTAAAAACAAGTTGTTTCAGAGTTTTTGCTTGAAATTATTGTTGAAAAGCTAACAGTCATTAGAGAAAAGTTGCTTAAGAGCCTTTGAAGTGTCATTGAAAAGCAAGGCATTACAAAGAAGTTCCAAAAAGTCTTTGTTGAAAGGTATTGAAAAGGAAATATTTCTTGTTTTTGCCAAGAAGTTGCTAAAGGGTCTTTGGTTGAAGTTATTGAAAAGTATATTACAAAGCTGAATTAGTTGATGCAAAGGGATATTTTTAACTGAAATAGTAACAGTTTAAGATTACAGATTTCTTAGTGTTTTCAGTTCAACATCATACAATAGCTGCTGTAATAGGAATCGGAATTGTATCATCAGAGTTGTGTGAAAGTACCCGTGCAATGAAGACAACAGTCAGAACAATGAGGTTCAGAATAGAGAGAAGACAAATGAAATATAGTGCTACGAACCTGAGAAGGAAGAGAATTGGAAGTTTAAGTGCATTATTTAGAACCATAAGCACTAAAAATAGCAGAAAAGCAATCTTGAAACAGTTGGATTATATGCATGAAACACATGATTGTCAAAGAATGAACACTAATAAGATCACACATTTCATAACCATTTGTTGTGAACAGGATGTCAAGGATGACAAGAAAACAAAAGAAGGATGTAGTGGACATCAACAACAAAGACAACTTTGTGAGTACTCTAAGAGAAAACAGAATGAAGCGATCATCAAGAGTGTGTAATTTGAATGTAGTACGTTGGCTTAAGGAGTATGGTTGGACAAGACACTGTGGACGTGGTAAGGTATTGGACTATGCAGAAGAAATTTGTCTCAGAAGTGGTAGAAAGAAGCCATCAAGAAGGTACAAGAGGAAAATGAGACGACAAGAGTTCAAGCAGTCACATAACATTAAGAAAGACT